TGGGGCAGAGGAAGGAAGGTAAGTTGCATGCGGTGTACTATGCAAGTAAGCTTCTTAATGATGCACAATTGAACTATTCCACTACTGAAAAAGAGCACCTTGTTGTGGTGTTTGCTTTTGATAAATTTCGATCTTATTTGATGGGATCGAAAACAGTTGTGTACACTGACCATGCAGCTATAAGGCACCTTCTTTCAAAGAAGGAGGCCAAGCCGAGATTGCTTCGTTGGGTTCTTCTTTTGCAGGAATTCAACGTTGAAATTCATGACAAGAAAGATTCGGCTAATCTGGTAGCCGATCACCTTTCTAGACTTGAGCTTGAGGAAATTCCTAAGGACAAGGTTGAGATCAATGAGTCTTTTCCAGACGAGCAGCTTTATGCTCTCCTTTTCCAACAAGCTCCCTGGTATGCAGACCTTGCGAACTATCTCACCACAGGTAAGCTCCTTGATTTGTCTTATCATCAACGCAAGAAGTTGATCACTATTGCCAAGAACTATATATGGGAAGACCCCTTCCTGTATAAGCATTGTGCTGATACCATGGTAAGACGATGTATTCCTGAATGTCAGGTAAAGTCGATGCTAAATTTCTGTCATAGTATGGCCGCAGGTGGTCACTTTGGACCTCATAGGACAGCAGCAAAGGTGTTACAATCTGGATTTTATTGGCCTTCTCTATTTCGAGATGCCCGTGATTTTGTTGCTCAATGTGATAGGTGCCAAAGAACAGGGAACAAATCTGCAAGGATGGAGATGCCGCAGACCTTGATTTTGGAGGTAGAGATGTTTGATGTATGGGGAGTGGATTTCATGGGGCCATCCCACCGTCTTTCAACAACAAATATATCTTAGTCGCAGTCGACTATGTATCCAAGTGGGTGGAGGCAGTGGTGTTGCCCACCAATGACCCAAAGACGGTGGTGAATTTCATAAGGAAGAACGTGTTCACCAGATTCGGAGTCCCTCGAGTTCTCATCAGTGACGAGGGCACACACTTCATGGGAAAGGAGTTGAACACATTGTTGGCCAGATATGGGGTTAAGCATCGAGTGGCTAGACCCTATCATCCACAAACCAGCGGGCAAGTGGAAGTTTCCAACAGAGAACTGAAAGACATTCTGGAGACGACAGTGAATTCAACAAGGAAAGATTGGGCAAGGAAGTTAGATGATGCACTCTGGGCATACCGGACTGCTTTCAAGACTCCTTTAGGCATGTCTCCGTACAAATGGTGTTTGGAAAAGCTTGCCACTTACCCGTCGAGCTCGAGCATAAGGCGTATTGGGCTATCAAGAAGCTGAACTTTGATCTAAAAACTGCTGGAGAGAAGCGCTTGTTGCAACTGAATGAGCTCGACGAGATTAGGCTTAATGCCTATGAAAATGCCCGGATTTATAAGGAGAAAACCAAGAAGTGGCACGATCACCACATACTGAGAAGGGAGTTCAAGGTGGGAGAGAAGGTATTACTTTTCAACTCACGCCTTAAACTCTTCCATGGAAAATTGAAGTCAAGGTGGTCCGGACCATTTACGGTGACCAAAGTGTACCCACATGGTGCAATCGAGATTCTTGGTGATCAAGGGGCGTTTAAGGTGAATGGTCAGAGGCTCAAGCACTATATTGAAGGGGTTTCTGTCCTAGAAATCTCAACGTATCATCTGGAATGAGCTATTTTACGTCAAGCTAGCGACGAAAAACAAGCGTTTCTTGGGAGGCAACCCAAGGTGAGTTTTTCTTTCAATTTTTTTTATTTTTTAGTTTTACCATGTGTCTAGAGGTTCTCCGCCAAATTTCAGCTCCAAAAGCCTTGAGGAAGGTATTATTTGGTGTTTTCTAGATGCACGGGCAGGCTGCGGAAGCACAGTGAGGCTGCAAAATTAGCACAAGCAAACCGCAAATGGGGGGGAGGACTAATATGAAAGTTTTGGGAAGGAAGGACTGATCTGAAATTTTGGAAAGGAAGGGGGGACTGAAAGGGAGATTCTCCTGTTACTTAAAAAAAATAGCAATTGGGGTTGGGGTTGGGCTTTCTCGCCCTTCCCCTTCCTCCCCTCCTTCCCTTCTTCTTCCCCCAGCAGAGAGACCAGCCGCCGTGCCACCCTCCCTGTAGCAGGGACCAGCCGCGCCGCCCTCACATCTCCGCCGCCCCGCTCGGCCCTCCACAGCTCGCCGGCGGCCGGCGCGCGCCTCGCCCATCCCAACCTCCCGCGACAAGCCGCCATCCGCCTGAGATCGTCGCAACGCGCGCCTATTGTTCCTCACGGCAAACTCGGGTCGCCAAGCACCACCAGCACCCCTCCTCCATCACTGCCTATTGAACTCAATTTAAACAGAATGAAGATTGTAATGTAACTAGTAACCCAGCTGTAAAGAAGCAAGGTTACTACAAACCAAATATTTAAACTAAACAATGATTGAGGGTTGTACGTGTTACACCTGAATAGCAATCGCCTCAGCTTTTATAGGAGTAATGATCAGTGACCTTTGCTCACTAGCCCAACTTTAGAGGGCAAGCAACTCGGTTGTAAAGACCAAGTTGTTTGCATTCAACGGAGGATGTTGTAAAGGATTATTTGATATAAAAGGAAATTTGGAAATAGTGGTTCAGTATATCTCAAAAGTCAAGTAGATTACTGTAGGAAGAAAATTCAAGGGTTAGATGGTTATATCTCAAAAATCAAGTAGATTACTGCAGGAAGAAAATTCAATGGTTAGATGGTTGAAAACGGGAGATTCTAACTCTCGGTTCTTTCACTTATCTTTGATTCAGCGAAGAAGATCCAATACCATCCTCTCGCTGCGGGATGATCAAGGCAATGAACACCACCTTGAAGATGTGAAAGGGGCAATTGCAGTCGCATACTATAAGGTTCTTTTCACTTCATCAGGGACAGAACCTACTGCTTATATCAACAGTCTGCAGCTACCTCGGCTGGTCGACGAAGCTGCAAATTCATCTCTAACTGCCCCAGTATCGGTTGAGGAAATTCAGAGAGCAGCCTTTGTATTGGGAAGTCACAGGCTCCAGGTGTCGATGGATTTACTGTTGCCTTCTATCAGCGTTTTTGGCCTGAAGTGGAGAAGGATGTATGTGCTACTATCATGTCTTTCTTCAGTTCTGGTCGGCTCTTACACAGCATTAACCACACATGGATGGCACTCATACCCAAGGTGAAAAATGAAAATACAATGCAACAAATGAGGCCAATGATCTTATGTCAGGTTCTATATAAGATTATTGCAAAAAATTTAGCATCCAGTTTGAGCATTGTCCTTCCTAATATTGTTAGTACTTGATTCGGGCTCAAATGTACACATTTTACCCCTCATTTCTTATTCGTTTAGCTTAGTATTTCATCGTTACTCGACATATTTCACGCTAGGTTGTGCTTGTTTTGATACATTTAAGGTTCTAGCACGTGTGGAAGGGTTGAGGACGAGTTTTGGGATATTTTGAGGTCAAAAAGCGCAAAAAACCGAAGAAATTCCAAAGCCCGTAGTAGTGAGTTGAAGGCGTCCAAGAAACAACCGCCGTTCACGGCCGGACGAAGCAGTTCACAGCCTCTAAGGCCGTGAACTTCGCCACAAACCGTGAACACTGAGGCGTCCAGCGAGGTTCCTGAAGTTACTAACGACAAGGCAGTTCACGGTCTCTAAGACCGTGAACTGTGGCCATCGACCGTGAACCTAGGACAGTGAAGCGGTGCGTTTTGGACTACGCTGAGTTCACAGACGCGTTTAGGTGTTCACGGCCGTGAACTGGCCAACGCGTTCGTGAACTGGTCACTTTCGGGAAAATATGAAGACAGTAGCGGGGAGAGAGAAAGGAGAGCTGGTTTTTGGGGGAGAAGAAACACTTTCTTTCTCTAGGGTTTCAACCTAAACACCAAAGGGGAGTTCTAGTGAGAGAGAAAGAGTACTAGAGTGATCTTGGAGCATCATTGGAGGCTTGTGTGGAAGATTCAAGCCTAGGAGAAGAAGAAGATCTTGAGCTCAAATTTGTAATATCTCTCTCTCTCTCTCTCTCTCTAGAAACTCACTCTTTTCTCTTGGGTGTTGTATATCCCTAACTAATACTTTCAAGGATAGAGGTATTATTCATGTCGATTGTGCATGCTCGTGCTTAGCAATCTAAGGGTTGTGCATGCTTTGTGCTTAGCATCCTTAGGTTTGTGCATTGCGGTGCTTAGCAACCTAAGGATTGTGCATAATTGTGCGTAGCACCCTTAGGTTTGTGCCTTTTGGTGCTAGCAATCTAACTAGCCACTTTAACCTAAGTTAATTTAGGGCAAACCTCAAGGTTGAATTAAGCAAATTGGTTAAGCGTGATTAAGCCGTCCAACTTTGTGTTGAATGAGGGAATAAGTCAACTACCAATTTTCTAAACTGAGAGGGTCGAGTGACACTGCCTTTCATGCTTACCTCGGTTTTGAAATTGAGATTGTGGTCTCCGACCACATATGCATCCCTCTGTGGTTCGCGGTTACCAGTTTGCATCTAGGTTGGTTGTGATTAAGCCTCCAAACACCGGTTTGAGGGAAAGACCTAGGCAACCACTAGTGACTGAGTGAGAGGATCGATCCCGCGACAAATCGACCTCCAGTGAATCCATCCCGTGACAAATGGATCATAAGTTGCTTCTCCTAGTGGTTCCCCTAGATTTGGTGAGTGGATCGATCTCATGACAAATCGATCGCTAGTGATTTGATTCCGTGACAAATCGATCACTAGTTGCTCACCCCTGCGGTTCACAACCACCACACCGCACGACTCCATTCAATCCAACGAGTCATGGTAGCTAGTTGGGGGGAAGCAACTCTTGGGTGAAGCTCCCTTAGTTAGAATTTTCCTTTATTTACCTTTCTTTGCTTGGTTAGTTTGTAGTTCCAATAAACTTAAACCCTAAAGTTGCTTGCTAGATAACAACTTATGCGATCGAAGTAGGGGTACATGGACCGGCCCGGGTTGACAATTTAAATACTTGCTCTAGACTGCACCCGGCTAGAGTTTAAAAACTTGGACTCTAGTTGAGATTAATTTGTTGTGTAGTTTCGTGCGAGTAATGTTTTTGGCGTCGTTGCCGGGGAACCGCGGTCCATTATTTTGAAAAGGTCGCTTAGTGTTAATCTAGCATTTTCTATCTTGCCTTTTTGTTTGTGTTTTGTTTTGTTTACCCACTCTTCGTCTTTAAGGGTGGTTTGTGTTTGTTTAATTTCATTTTGTGTTTTTGTTTGTGTCGGTTATGAATCATGGATCCCAATGGTTTCTACAATAGGTGGGGGTATCCACAACCACCCGAATGGGGGTACCCCGGAGCTTCATAGAGTGAACAAGAAGGGGGAAGCCAAGGATCCGGGTTCTATTACTGACCCCCCTTCCAAGACGAACAACCATACCATTGGGGATATGAAGAGGCTTTCCCATATCAAGAAGATTTCCCTCCACAACCTGAGGAGAAATCCCAGTTGGAGTTGGCCATGGAAGCCTTCATGGGACAATCATCAAGACCATGTGCCACTCCACAACCGGAGCCAAAAAGAAACTGGGAGCTCATGGTGGAGCAATTTTCCCGTGGTACCGACGAAGGATGTTCAAATTCGGATCTTCCCATCATCGGCCCAATCAACTCAACCTTTCTTTGGGAATTGGAGGAGCTCCTTCGACGCACGAAGAGGCGAGGAGAGCTTATTGAGCAAGCATGTGCACAACTTGCTCACAATCGCCTCCTACCATTGGAAGAAAGAGAGGAATTCGAAGAGGCAAGCCATGAGACCTTTGGAAGAATGATCTCCGACATGGATTTCGAACGCCTCCCTCCTCCCGGTTTAACACTAGAAGAGAAAGTGGCACGAGCTTGTGAAAGCTATCGCCTCTCATTAGTGGAGGAAAAGGAGGAGGTTGAAGGAGCGATCAATGACAACCGTGTAGAGCAAGAAGAACTCACCCCAAAGAGCTCCCGTGGTGAGGAAGAACAAGAAGGTTTCATTGATGACTCCCATCACTCTCCTCTTCCCGAAAGCAACTTTGAAGACCAAGACACGAGTTTGGAGGAGCACGAGAATCCCTTCTATGACCTTGCATGGCATCTTGCCCTCAAATTCATGCTCGAAGACATGAATGGGAAGGAGAAAGAAGAGGTTGAAAGGAGGAAGTGAGCTTTAAAGAGGAAGAAGATCTTGAGTATTCCCAAGGGGAGGAAATTGATGAAGAAGGAAGGGAGGTTGAAGAAGGAGTTGAAAGGGAAAGTGGAGTCCAAAATGAGGACAAGGTCGAGATGGATGAAGCATCCACAAGTTACGAGGGCTATGAAGCTTTCCACTCGTCCTCGATACGCTTCTTGAGAAGGACCCATTTGCGGCTCTTTGCCAAGCCAAGGCCAAACCATCGGCAATCCCTCTTGGTGGATGCGATGGTGGTAAAGATATGACACATTACATGGTGCGGGACAAAGAGAAAGAAGGAGAAGGAAAGAAGAAGAGGTCTCGTGGGTGGAGCCTCAAAGCCACTCAAGGTCACGAGCCCTCAATCATGGACTCGTCCAAAGCTCGTGACTTGAGACACCACCTTACCTACTAACACGCTACGACACAACAACAAACTGCGACCAAGTGTAATCGCTGTCCGGAAATGCAGTAAAGTGGCAAGTTCTAATTATCAACCCGGGGTCTAGATCTACTGCCTACTCCGTGAACATCTATTATCTAGCCAACTAAGTCGATTAATTGTGGTTTTAACTAAAAGCAGTAAGAAAGCAGGAAATGATTCGGTTTTCTAAAGCAAAGGGAGAGTCACTCGGGAATGAGTCCCCCTAGATCCTGAGTTAGGTCTCAGTTGTAATTACCCTGGGTTGATTTACTGTTGATTAAATTGCGAAAGATCCGACAGCAGCTTGGAATCTCTTAAGCTGACCAAGCCCTCTCAGTCCAACTACCCGGCAGACGACTAGTCTTCACCGGGATACAAAGCTGAGGCAATAAGCACAGAACTCCACTACTGGAATTGGGTTCTAGTACAAAGCAGTAGATTGATTAACTCTCGTACAACCAATCTACCACTACCGAATGATGAAGCTCTAACAACCTAATAAGATTCTATCTATCTCAGGTTGCAGCAGAAATCAAGAAAAGATGATCAAACTTCAATTGATTCAATGAATCATGCATCATTCGATTAAAACCAAACAGTATAACAATCCCAAGTCATTACAATCAAGATCCCTAACACATGGAACTAGGGTTCTTCATACCCAAGTGAGAGAAAGTTCTACTCCATAGAGAGAGAGAGGGAAACAGAATCAAAGCATCATACTCATAACAATGGGGAGAATCTGCTCTGGGATGATGATCTTCACGCCAAGGATGATTTCCAAGCTTGATTGATGAAACCCAACTCCAAAACCACTCTTAGGAGGTGTTCTTCGCACTTTCTCTCTCTAGGGCTCTGTTTTTGCTCCAAAAAGTCGATTCCCCCTCCTTTGGCTTGAAATTGGGTTAAAACCCAGAAATTCCCGACCACACGGGCAGGCCACACAGCCGTGTGGCTTTTTAGGCGTGCCCGTGTGAGTGTGCAAAACGCCGCATTTCACTTAAGTGGCTTTAGGTACGCTACACGGCCAAAACCACATGGGCGTGTGGGTTTTAGGCGTGCCCGTGTGAGCTCCCTGGACTTTCCACACGGCCACAAGGGGTCCCCTACACGGCTAGTGTGGCTTGCCCGTGCAATTTGGTGTCACACGGCCAGGTCACACGGCCGTGTGGGTCTTTAGGCGTGCCCGTGTGGCTTTTCCAGCTTTTCGTCAAACGCCCCAACTTCGTCCAATGGACCCCGAACTCGTGCCCAAACCTTCTTTCACGTACTAGGACCTGAAATATCACAAACAAGAACAACCTAGCGTGAAATCGGCCTAAAACACGAGAGATGAAAACATGTGTATATATCAAGTCATCAAATTCCCCCACACTTAACCGTTTGCTTGTCTCCAAGCAAACCTGACTCAAACCAATACAAATCTCCAGACCTCTATAGCAACATGAAACCCCAATCGTCGGCAGAGGATTTTCTAGACATTTAGCAACTTACGAGGTCAACTGGTCTTCTAAGATGCCTCCTATCTCTCTCAATGCAAGTACTAGACTTAAGCCAAGATCATGAGAAGCAGTGGAACTAAGACAGTCAATTCATGGATAAGGAGACTCACACAATTCAACAACCAAGGACTCATTGTATCGGGTGCTCTTTCATTTCATTTCACTTGTTGGAACCCCTTATTCTTACTATTTGTTTTGTTTTGTGTTTTTCCTTGCTGGGGTTCCAACTACAGTTTGTATGCGCGGTCTGCCCTTATTAGGTGAGCAAGAGCAATTTCTGTACATCTGTCACTCGCCAGAGTACTTCTTTTAACTCCTATTCCTCACTTCGTGTGGAGGGTCAATGAAATTAAGGGGGGTCGGAAGCTCTATCCGTGCCCTTAAAAACACATCCTCAAGTAGGCCAACCGTTCAACGGGTGGAAATTTTACTTGTACTAGAGACAAATTAGCTTCACCTTGTAGGCCTACCCCACCAAGGATCACTAAAATCTCTTCCAAACCCGATTTTGGGCAATGAACGGTGCCACACACGTTGGGCTTACCCCATGTCTTAGAATTTCAAATTTTTGACATGGAGGACCAACTACTTTTTTTCATTTCACACTTGAGCACTCTTTTTCGATACACGAGCCCACAACACAACATAAGAGGAGTCATCAATACCACATGAATCAACGGTCCTAAATCCACTAGTTCACAAAATCAACCGGCACAACAGAGAGACATATAGGAAAAATCTTATACTTCAACATCCTCCATAGTGCTACAACTACCTCCCTAGGTTGCATATCACCATAAAGACTGTCAATTCAAAGCATACTGAGCAGGATTTTGCAGGGAACAGTACTTGGAGCCCTCAATTCATCAAATTGGACAGTGGACTAGTCTCCAAGCACACAAACTCATCTAGCAGTCAAAAATAGATAAACACCCCCCCACACTTAAGCACGACATTACCCTCAATGGAGCAAGGGAAATATAAGGGGGAACGATGTTACCTGGAAAATGGACTGTCGGGGGACTGGAAATGGGACCAGTCAGTAGGTCTAGAGTCATCAAAACACACTGGGTGATAGAAACCATAGTTCCAAGTGGACAAACCGAAAACAAACGAAGGAAAAACAAACCTTGGTGGGGTTGCCTCCCCACAAGCTCTTCTTTACCGTCTTTTAGCTGGACGCCAGTAGGGTGGATACTCAGAGAGGTGAAGGAACAAGTGCCTCCAAGAGAGGATCCACATCGCTCTTGAGGTACAGCTTCAGATGGTGGCCATGCACACGATGGGTGTGACCACCAGCACTCGTCAACTCAACCTGGCCATCCGGCAGGATGCAAGCGAGTGAATACTCGGATGGCCAAGGTGGTCGAGGATCAGGAGGCGGGACCAGCTCATAGTGGTCTCCGGCTTTCTTGTGAGCAGGCTTAGCTACCTGCAGTTTTGGCCGCCACTCCTCCCTGATATTTTCGTTTGGTGACGGAGTGGACGGGAGTGGCGGCGAAGGTATGGGAGGGGGATCCTCCAAAATGGGAAGCACATAAGGATATACGACAGACTGATGCTCCTGGTGAGAAACAGCATGCAAGGTCGATGAAGCAGGGAGAGTATTAGCAATGGAAAATGTTATTCGCTCCTCGCCATCCCTCAAGACTAAGGTCCCATCATGCACAACTATGAGAGCCTTGGAGGTGGCCAGGAAATGCCTTCCTAGTATAAGGGGCACTTCTGTGTCTTCATTGATGTCCAAGACAACAAAATCCACAGGATAAAAGAATCTGCCAACCTTAACCAGAAGGTCTTCCACTATGCCCCTATGATGAACTATAGATTGGTCAGCTAGTTGAATACTCATCCTAGTTGCACTGGGTTCACCTAGGCCTAGTTTCTTGAACAATTTATATGGTATCACATTAATACTAGCACCTAGATCCGCCAAGGACCTCTCTACATGCAATTTACCTATAGAGCACGGGATAGTAAAATTACCTGGGTCCTTCTGCTTCTGCGGAAGCTTGTTCTGTAGAACGGCCGAGCACTCCTCGTTGAGCTCCATAGAGGCTAGCTCGCTCAGCCTCTGCTTCTTCGAGAGAAGATTTTCAGGAACTTCGCATACTTAGGCATCAGAGATAGTGCCTCCATGAAGGGCACTTGAACATGAAACTTCCTAAGCATGGACGAGAAGTTTCCGAACTCTGCCTCCAGTCTGTCTTTGTAAATCCTGGTGGGAAAAGAGAGCTTAGGCTTGTATTCAGCCACTACCGGTTGTGGCTTTGGAGCTTGATCCTCTGGCTCTTTTTCCATCACCAGGTCTTCTTCCAGCTCTAGGGTGATCTGGGTCACCTTCTTGGCACTCTTCTGCGGTGCATCCGTAGTCACAGTCCCATTTTGCAGCGTAATGGCATGCAACCCCTCCTTATGATTTCTGGGATTCGGTAGGGGTTGGCCAGGAAGTGTGCCAACCGGTCTGGAAGCTAGGGCATCTGCCAGGTGCCCGATCTTGGTGTCCATATCCTGCAAGAGTGCCTGCTGGTTTCTCTGGCCAGCTTCAATCTCCATGAATTTACCTGCAGCCACTTCCATGAATTGCTCCAATTTGTTGAACTTTTGGGTACTAGTGCTCACCAAGGTAGTCACTAGATCCCTCAGTTCTGACACGGGATCGCCCAGTGCTGGGACTGATGGAGGTGCACCAGGCTACTATACTGCTGTTGTGGGAGCTGTTGAAAAGCCTGCCCTGTCTGGGATGATAGAGTGGTTGTTGTTGCTGCATCTGGCCCGACCGAGGCTGGTATGGCTACCTCTGGTTTGGAAAACTAGCATGCACAACCCGCCCTGGTGCTCGTCTTGATCTCCTCGCAGTTCCCCAATCATAGCACTGCTATGCCATCTCTTCAAAAAGTTGATTCAGCTGTGGCGGTGTTTTGATGAGCATATTCCCGCCACAGACCGAGTCAATCAGCTGCATGTCCTCCGGGAAGAGGGCATGGTAGAAGGTGCCCACCTTGAAAGCCTCAGTAAAACCATGGTTGGGACACTTGAGGAAGAGACTGGTGTATCTCTCCCAAGCATCCCGGATGGTCTCATCTTCATCCTGAGCAAAGTGGGTAATTTGCTTTTGCAGGTCTGCCGTCTTAGACGGGGGATGGTAGCGAGTGAGGAACTTGTCTGCCAGGTTGGCGAACGTGGTGATCGAGCCTGGAGGTCAAGTGTCTAGCCACTCCTTGGCCTGCCCCTCCAGAGTAAATGGGAAGTACCTCAGCTGGATGGCATCGGCTGGGACCCCATTTATTTTCATTCCATCGATGAGCTCGTGGAATCGCCTCAAATGTGATTAGGGGCACTCCCCCTCTTTGCCACGGAACACCACCAAACCGCGCAGCATGGTGATAACAGAGGTGCTCACCTCAAATTTATTCGCTGGCACATGAGGGTGCTGAATGGGAGGCCTCATGTCCGCGGCTATGGTGGTCCAGTAGTATCCCATGGTCTGTTCCTCGAGGATGACCACATCATTGTTCTGTGGGTCACCCATCTATTCTTCTTTGGCGATTTGAAGCTGTGCTAGCGCCTCCTCCGCAGCCAGTAGTGCCTTTAGAGCCCGCTTGAAGATTCTACAGGTCCGTTCAAGCTCCTGGTCTAATGGTAGTAAATCTCCCGACTGGCTACGGGTCATGCACTACCTGCACACAATCAGTAAAAGCAACCCGTGAAGGCACACAGGTGGAAGAGAGAAAATGCAGTAAAGAAAAAGCTAGAGTAAACAACTTTCACGTTTCTCCAATAACCTAGAAATTCTCCGGCAACGGCGCCAAAAACTTGACACGCTTACGACACAACACCAAACTGCGACCAAGTGTAATCGCAGTCCGAAAATTCAATAAAGTGCCAAGTTCTAATTATCAACCCGGGGTCTAGATCTACTGCCTACTCCGTGAATATCTATTATCTAGCCAACTAAGTCGATTGATTGTGGTTTTAACTAAAAGTAGTAAGAAAGCAGGAAATGATTCGGTTTTCTAAAGCAAAGGGAGAGTCACTCAGGAATGAGTCCCCCGAGCTCCTTAGTTAGGTCTCAGTTGTAA